ACATCTCTGAGAAGCTCCTCTCATCATACACCACCTTGATGCCCCTATTTTTGGTTTTCCTGTTCCACAAGGACCATGTGGCACCTGAAGGGTGTTTGGGCTCTGAAGTGAGAGCAGTGCAAGGGCTAAAGATTAAAGGAAGAGGAGCCTGAGGTCCAGACCCAGGTGGGGAGGCCCAGAGCAGCTGGGGCTGCCCCTGCATCCCTGGAATGCCCAAGGCCAGGCTGGACACTGGGGCTGGAGCAGCCTGGGACACTGGGAGGTGTCCCTGCCTTGGCAATGGGGTTGGAACTGGGTCATCTTTAAGGTCCTTTCCAACCCAAACCATTCCACGACAGTGACATTCCAGTGCTCACTGGCACCAAGTACCACACTGACACCAGAATTCCTCCTCCTGCCTTACCTTGCTCAAATTCCCCCACACAAAGCAGAGATTTCACAGCCTGAGCCTGACTTTCAACACCTCCCCTCTCCCTGAGAGGCGACAAGAATTAAGTGGGAAATCCAACCCTCTGGTTCCCGGGGGGCAGAAGCCCAGCGGGGAACCGGTTCCAGAGATGCCCTGATCCTTTCTCACAGACTCGACTGCTGGCTGAGGTCAGCCTTTAATAAGCAGCAATAGACACATTTAGACACCTGGAAGGGATCAAAAACATTGCTGAAAAGGAGGAAAACAAACCCACATGGATGGGAAAAGGAGGGCTGACCCCACCCAGCAATGGGAACCTGTTGCTGTAGATGAAATGCCAAACGTGCTCTCCCCAACACCAGGAGCTCTTTGCACTGACAAAGCAAAGGGACCCTCCTGCCTCCTTTTTTTAGGCATCTCCCTCTGAACTGTTGCAGCTTTAGTAACAATCTCCGAGGAAAAATCAAGAAACAAACGATTTTCTTACACATAATCCCCCTTTTGCTGTCAAGGGCCTGACCCCAGTTTGATAATCTCATTTCCTGAGAATCAAAACGCTGGAAATTTAAGCTTCCTAGAGTGTTAATTGCAACCCTGCTCCATTGCTAATCAAAAAATTGGATGTTTTGCATGAAAATGCTGCTCTAATTAATTCTCAGTCATAAAGCAGCCTGGTTTTAATAACCCCTCCTTGACTGGGCAGCCTTTGAAGAGGCCGTGTCTCTAATCCGCTACACCGGGACAAACGCACGCCGAGGAAGTCAGGAGTGGCTTTGGGGAGCTGATGGCTTCAGAGCTGGCAAAACCCTGAAAATCCCTGCTCTGCCCTCTCCCCAAGCTCAAAGCCAACTGTGATCCTGCTCATCATGAGACAAAAGCAGTGGTGTGACAGGAAATTCGGGATATCACATCGGCTCCCCCTCCTCAGCTGATTTTTCCGCTGGTTTATTCCCCGTCCTTCCTTAAGGAATATTTTTTAAGCAGCACAGGCCACTTGTCACCACATCTCCTTTAACCAGACGTGAATGCTGTTCCCTCTCCCCCTCCCCAGCCCCTCTGACTGACAACACATTATCACCCACATCTCGCAGAGGTGCTGAACCGAATTTTCATTATCCCAAATGTCAGCTTTGGTTTCTGTCACCGCTGAGCACAGCTGGCTCCCCGAGGCAGCCCTTGGGCGAATCCAAATGGAACAAGGCACCTACAAACAACTGCATTTTCCCTGGACATGGCCTTACATGGTGCCCTTGTCATAGCAGATCGTCAGTGCCTCTGCTGCTATTTCTTGGCATCAAAATCTTAATTAGCAGAGTTTGTCGTTGATTTTCTTTAATTGCTTAAAACCTTATGGTGAGGAATTTTTCAGGCTTGGGTGGAGAGTGGATGAGCAGTAGAATGAGGAGTAACACAGATCCACTTCCCACATTTAGGTTTGTGTCTGAGGGCTATTCAGGGCTTTGCATTTATCACCCAGCCAGCAAGAAAAAAAAAAATCAGTGGATTTTTTAATTCTAAAAATGATCCACTATAATTTATTGTGTTATTATACCAGAGCTTTATTTTACTGCCATATTCGCCATCCTTGGCCAGAGATGAGCAACCTGGAAGGTTCCTAAAATCCCAGATTGGTTTGGGTTGGGATTAAAATCACCCAGTGCCACTCCTGCCATGGCAGGGACACCTCCCCTGTCCCAGGCTGCTCCAAACCCTGGCCTTGGGCAGTGCAGGGATCAGGGGCAGCCCCAGCTGCTCTGGCAATTCCAGCCCAGCCAGCAATTCCTCATGGCCAAGATCCCATCCATGGCTGCCCTCTGGCACTGGCAGCCATTCCCTGGCTCCTGTCCCTTGTCCCCAGTCCCTCTGCAGCTCTCCTGGAGCCCTGCAGGCCCTGGAATGTGCTGGAAGCTCTCCCTGGAGCCTTCTCCTCTCCAGGGAACATTTCCAGGTCTCCCCAGACTGTACCAGTCCAGAAGGAAATATTTCACTTCTCTACTCACCCCCACTTTTATTTTTTAATGACGGTTGTCAGAGAACTTGTGTGGCCAACTTCAAGGGGAAAACACATGGCCAAAGCCTTTCTCCTGCAATTTCAGTGGAATGAGACAGAAGAATTGCAGCTCCAAACCACTTGCAGCAGGTCCCTTTCTCCCACTGAGGGATAATGTGAGCCTCATGCTCTGCACTATTTCAGTCCAAATCAAAAGGGTTAATGACAAAGCATCACTCTGATCTTCACACGTTTTTAAGGCTATTTAAATTAAATTCTTATGTCGAAAAGTTAGCGTGAGCTAAACTTTTATAAATTCCTTTCTTTTCATGCATATGTTGCTTTGAAGATCTTTTCAGGAAAAAAGATTCCCTAACAAGTCACCCTCCCCCTGCTGCCACTGAAAAATCATCCCTGTGGATAAGGCTGTTGGGAACAGAAACTGTGCAGTGTTCACAGAACACAGAGTGTCACATGCCTGCTTTCCACTAACCTGATTGAACAATTAAATTGTATTTCTCTTTAAAAAGGATAAAAAAAATATAAAAAATATATATATAAAAAAATCCAAATGCAGATCTTGCTGTGGTCTGGGATTCAGGAAGATTAATGAGCAACCTAAAAGGGAACAGCAGCTCATAATAGAGACAGAGGTTACTGCATTTTTAACGTGGAGTTCAAAGGGAAACTTTTCTTGATGGTTCAGCTGCAAAGAATCTCAGCAAAGTCATCTCATCTATTGTCCCCACTGCCTCCCCACACTGACTTTGTGTCACCTACTGCATCACGTCCAGGCTCTTCCAATTGAGCTGCAAAGGGCAGCAGGATCTTGGCCCTCTCCACACTAATTCCTGTTTTGTCCTTTACTCCTTTGGCAGCTCCTGGGCTTTGTTCTTGCCCACCCAGGCTCCCTGAGCAGCTCTGCTGCATCCTCCTCCCCTGGAAATGCCCCCAGCTCATCCCAAATGCTGCCCCAAGATTTGTCTTGTATCCGTAAGGAATCGCTCTTCCATGAAATCTGGTTCTAAATGAGCTCCAAAGCCAGGACAGGAGCTCCTTAAAATCCTCAGTGTAACAGCGATAAACACCAAAATCCCAAATTTCAGCCACGAGGCACCTGGAGGAGGACACGGATATGGAGAAGGGCAGTTCTGTTCTCTGCTTGTTTTAAAGCCACGTGGACAACTGGGAATGACAGAAGGCAACAGGAATCATCCCAAAGGGATGGGAAATTCTGGAACAAGTGCTGCAGGCTCTCTGATGGCCCCAAAAAGCTCAAAATTCTCAACAGCCAAAAAATTCTTGGCTTTGAGCCCACACTTGTCCCACACAGTTTGTAAGAGAGAACCCAAAACTATGGAGAAGGAACTACTTAAATCCTCCTGGAATAAAACCCAGCAATGGGATGGAACATGAACCTGGGGGACATCTCCCAGCCAGTCCTGGCCACGTGACACTTTTGAAGGTGAGAACCTGAATCCCAAAAGGCAGAGGGATTTGAGCTCCACACCTCCCAGGTGAGTGCAAGGTGAGATCCCAGTTTAGCTGGCAGGTACCTCCACATCCCCTCATTCCCACAGGCTCTGGGGTCAGGGGGTGGGCACCTCTCACCCTCAGCTTCTTCCTTCTCAGTCCACCCAAAAAGATCTCAGAATTCACCACAGAGCCATGACACCCCTGCTCATCAGTGCAGAGATCACCTCTGCAGCCACCCAAGTGGCTCAGGCTGTCACAAGAACAATCTCCGCCTCTCAAAGGTTTTTTTCACACCCTTGTGGGTTTAAGTTGTTGCTGAGGACAGGTTATGAAAGGAGGAAGGGAACACAAAGGCATCCAAAAATTCTCTTGTAAATTATAGAACATTCGCAATTAAAAGCCAACTGAAAATTATCATGGACAAGAGTTCCAGGAGAAATTCTGCCCTTGGTCATCACTGTAATATTTGAAGAACAGGAATTATATTCCTGTTACAATTAGCCCAGGAAGAAACTGGAATAGTTGATAGAAAAGAATTCAGCCCTGCTGTACACGACCATGGCAGTCTTGGGACATTCCCTTGATTCTGCTGCCAAGCCCAGCCACAGGATCATCCAGGAAAAAAAAGGGAAATGATGCCATGCAAGAGCAGGGGACACTTCCCTGGGCACACACAGCACCTGCCACGGGCAATATAAAAAAGCAAAACCAAGTCCCCAGGTTCACCATCTGCAAACACCCTGCAGCTCCTCAAGTGCACAAAACACAAAGAATTGGTCACTTTAATCCATCCAGCTTCAAATTTGAGCTGCCTGAGCTCAGCTCCCAAAGCAATGCAAGGTAAGTACCACAGAAAGGACACAGATAAATATCCAACACCCAAACCCAGTGCTCAAGGTGAGGTTGCTTGTATTTCACCTTTTGTTTTAGGAATATTTTTTAAAACCTTGGCCTCCAGCTGAAAATGCTGAGAGAATAAAGAGAAACCTTTCAAAACCTCATAATAAACAAGAGCTTAAAACTTGGAGTGACTCAGAGCAGAGATCAATACCTGCCAGAGGCTGGGCAGGACATTCCAGCTCCTGCAGAAGGAATGATCCAATTACCAAGGATCCCTTTCCATACCTTGCAGCTCCCCACTCCTGCTGTACAGCTCCCTCCTCTGCTCCCTCAGGTAGGCACTCATGCTGATGGCATGGGATGAGGATTCAAACCTGGAATTCAAAGGAATTCAGTCAATTTCAGGCACTGGAAGCATCCTTCTTGTGAGCATCACTCACCTGTTAAAAATACAAAATGTAAATATATTGTTATCCTGGAAATTAAGGACCCATCAATTATTATTTATTGTATTACTCTAATAATCCATAAGGACCAATCCAAATATTTTCCAACCATTTCTGCCCCATCAACAGGATTTTTGGCACTCACACTAAAAGGCCTGAGTGACTGAGGACAGCTCAAGGTCCCTGTGACCACAAGTGTCCCATGGCCATGGGCTTTGTGCCTGACACAAATGAGTGCTGGGAACACCCCCACGGACAAGGGCTGTTGTTCCAGGCAGGCACTTCCCAAAAAAAAACACAAAAAACCAATTCTGGGTGTTGGAACCCTGGCTACTGAGAATTTCAGACTTTCTTTGCTGCCAGGCACTGACCTCCAAGAGAACTCTGCATTGACCTGAGGCTGTAGAAAAAGCTTCCAAAAATGAATGCTAAAACTAAGATTATAAGTGCATAGTTTCAATAGAAATGTGTAATATCATATGGTGGAAAACTTAGAGTTTAAGGGTTTACAATACAGTAATATATAGAAGGCAAGACAGAAGTTTTAGAGCAGAAGCTGGTCCTTGTTCTTTACCTTCTTCATAAGTTTAAGCAGTATTGTGTAATAAAACACAGCCCCCATTACGAGCCACAAGCAATTAGTTATTGGGTTAAAAGTAAATATAAGTGACATTTCTTAATTAGACAGCTTATCCTTAAAAAACCTTGTAGAAAGAGAGATATGTCTTCATTTTTAGCTTATTAAAATTAAGGACTACAAAACTCACAGCTTGTGAAACTGTAAATAGATAAGAACTAATAAACATGTGAGTGCAACAAGAAATACTGTCTCACACATTTAATCCCAACTCAGCAGAAAAAAGAAGCAAAAAAAATCCCTTTTCTGGGAGTGCCTGGATGGGCTCTGGGGACCAGGGAGCTCATGGTGGGGACAGAGCACCTTCAAACAGCCCCAGGGGACATAAGGCTGAGCTGGGACAGAGGCTGGGCAGAGTCACAGAATAAATCAGGGATTGATGGAAAGGATCTCCTCCATGGATGCACCTCGGGCAGCACCAGGGCCAATGGTCCCAAAATGAACCCAAGATGAACCCAAATGGTCCCAAAATGCACGAGCGCTGCCGGGGTCTCTCCCTGGGCTCAGCTCTGCTCCATGTGCACATTGCAGTTCAGTGTCCAACCCCAGTGCAGCCCCTGCACTCCCATCCTTGTTTTTCTCTCTGCAGCCCACGGGGTTTGTGCTCCTGGGCTGGCATTGGGATCATTTGTCCTTGGTGCCCAGCTCAGCAGGAATTGTTTTGTCTCCCTGCTCTGTGCACAGAGCTCCCCATCCCATAATGTGAGCCCAGACCCACACCCCAAAGCAGCACAGAATGTGAAAAATACAAAACCTAAAACCTGAGGCATCAGACACCAGACTTAGAACGAAAATTTGTCACAAGAAGACCTGAAGATGTTGAGGATTTGCTGCCACACTCCTCATTGCCTCCCCAGCCCCACAGCTCAGGAGGGTGGAATCAGCCTCAGCGCTGCCCAGAGGGACACTGGGAACATGAGCATCACACCCGAGACAGGGGAAAGCATTTCACAGCTTTCCTGGGCACTAGTGATAAGATTATTACTATTAATGAGGCTTTTCTGCTTTAATTTGGACTCTGAGTGTTGTTCTTATTGCAACTGAACTAATAACGATTTATGAAAATACAACAAACCCTTCTGATTTTAATTAAATGAGCTGTAAATTGTTGGCTCTGTGTTCCCCACGTGCTCCTTCCTGTCCTCAGTGAGACAATAAATGCAGGATTATCCCTGAGGTCTTTCCAGGCACCAAACCCAGACCTCAACCCTTTTTTTCCACAACCATCCAGTTTTATTTCCCTTCCTCTGCCACCTCCTCCAGCTGCCCTTCCCCACGTTCCTGTTCCCACTCAACTCCTTGTAACTCCCTTCCCAATGCTGATCCTCCCACGAAGCTTTCAAAACATTTCTGTTTTCTTTAGAATTACACAGAATTACAGCCAAGTCTGGGACTGATTTATTGGGTGTTCAGCTCCTGCCTGTACAATTCACTCCTGTCTTATTTACTGATTTCCATCTTGGAAAACTGAGCTGGCCACCTGAGCATGCCCTTGGCTACTTTGGTGAAGAGAAGAAAGCCAAAAAAAAAACCAAGGAAGTTTATGATGGCATGCATTATCCAAATTCCCCTTCATCTGAAGCTTTCTTTTTCAAGACAACATTGTAACTAAAAAATATTTTTTATTATATCCATTTTAAAGGAAATAAGGATTCCGAGTTTCTTCTAAATACCAGCTCCTGATTTCCAGAGAGCATGACACAACTTCCCCTCTATTCCTTGAGGACATAACTAGCAGAAATATTTAATATTAATTGAATTAGCTCAGTATTTAATATTAATTAAACAAGCTCACAGCTACCACAGGACACAGCACCAACACCTGCATGCACCTGTGAGCAAAACACGAGGTGGAGCCCTGCCCTAAGAGACTGCTGAGGAATGAAATGCAGATTTTTGTGGTGACAAGAGCAGAGATTTGGCCAGAGCTAATGGAAAGGAGCCTGGCACAGAAAGCACTGAAGATGGGAGGGGAGACAAGAATAACACTCCATCAAACACGTACGAACCTCAGTGGGCTGAGAAATTCCATTTCGAGGGAGATTTCCATAGATAGGGTGACAGCTGCCAGATAAGCAAATGAGAGATCCCAATAAGTGCTGCTGTCACCGCGGGGACGGCGCTGCTCGGTGACAGCAGCTGCTCCCACCAGGAGATTCATTCACCTGCCTTTGAACAATTACAGCCACCTCCCCTCTGCTGACAACCTCTGCCCAGCCTCAGCCTGCTCCAGGTGAGCCACAGCAGCCTCATTCCTCCAGCTTTAATCCCAAACTTAGTCCTCAAACCCCAAACTCGGGTCCTTGTACATTCACTGACAGACTTGGGATGAGCTCCAATATTCATCTGTAGGTCAGAGTAAATTCCAAGTGGAATTCTCTGCCCAAAATGGCCATGAGGGAGTTAAAAAAAAAAGGGTGAGGGGTAATAATCATGGGTTGACAGGGGAAGGAGGCAACACTTAACCTCTAATAACAGAGGGTTGCAGGAGAGCTCATCCTGGGAGAGCAAAGTGGAAGGCTTGGATTTCTAACTGGGACCTCAGAGGACATCTACTGGGAGCACAAAACAGCACTTTTAGGTCCTCTCCATAACCCTCAAGAGGCCCAAGAGAATGGCCAGCACAGGTAGGTGGGGGAAGAGAAGAAAATTCCAGCACAGCTCCCCCAAATCCAGGTGTGAATCTCCTCTCCCACCAGCGTTGCTCAGCAGCTCCTCACTCCTTACTGCTGCACAAATTTGCTCTCCCAATTCCTTCCCTTGGCCACCCAGCCTCTCTCATCCTCCTCTCCCTTACATTCTCCTCCCAACCACTTAATTCTTTGCAGCCTGACCGCTGAATTAAAGGAGTTAGTGACAGGATTAAGTGCTTAGTCTATGCAGTAATTACACAGTTATCTTAATTCCCTTTGTCCAGTGCCCTTTATCGCTCCCTCTAACAGGTCCTGAATTTACCATGGACAAAGAGAGGCAGAAATGGATCACTCCATGCTCTGCAGCAGCTCCTGTAATGGGATTCCCAGTCCTGGGAAGAGCTCAGCTCTAAAACCCAGCGCTGAATCCGTAACAGATCTTCAGCTCTGGGCATTAAATCCCCATCCAGGAACTTCCACACCTCTCACACTGTGAAACCGCGATTACCAGCAGCACTCCAGGGACCAAAGGCAGCTTAAGCACAGCTTTTAAACCCCTGCACTTACTTAAAGAGAGGGTTCTTGGGTCTCTGGGGCTTCTTCTTGGCGAAGAAGGCGGCGAACTCGCGGCCGGAGCTGGCGTAGCTGAGCTGGGCCGAGGGCTCCGAGGCCGTGCGCGTGTTCTTCATGTCCAGGTACTCCGTCAGCAGCATCTGAGGGGAGGGACAGAGCTCACAACGCTGCTCTGCAGAGGGCCACCACGCACACAGCGCCAGCAGGCAGCTTCAGGAGGCTGTAAGCACTGGCCCACACACAGAAACATCGTGTCACCTCAGAAGGCTGCAAGCATTGCCCTTGTTCTTTAGCCCAGCCTTTTGTCCCCTCATGTTCATGCAGCGCACCTGTGTGCCCTCTGTGACTGCTCTGTGCACCTGGGCACGCCATGGCTCATCACCTTCTGCTCACCTGCTTCTCACTGCTGTACCCAATTAGGGATGAGGCGCGGCCACAGCCCCACTCCCAGTTACCTCAAAATCTGTGCCTACACCTTCCATCTTTCCTTCCATCCCTCCATCCCCCCATCATGTCACAGTCAAGACAGCCACAGTACCCAGAGTGTCACCATACAATTGCAGAAGGCTTCACCCCACACACCCAGAAGGCTGCCAGCATCCACCCTTGTTGTCCTTCAGCCCAGCCTTTTGTCCCCTCATGTTCATGCAGTGCACCTGTGTGCCCTCTGCTCCCTCTGTGGTTGCTCAGCACCCCTGGGCACGCCATGGCTCATCACCTTCTGCTCACCTGCTTCTCACTGCTGTACCCAATTAGGGATGAAATTCAGCCACAGCCCCACTCTCAGTTACCAAAGATTGTGTGTCTACACCTTCCATCTTTCCTTCCATCCCTCCATCCCCCCATCCTGTCACAGCACATGTCACAGCTGAGACAGCCACGGTACCCAGAGTGTCACCATACAATTGCAGAAGGCTTCACCCCACACACAGTAAAACCACCCCACCTCAGAAGGCTGCAAGCATCCACCCTTGTTGTCCTTCAGCCCAGCCTTTTGTCCCCTCATGTTCATGCAGCGCACCTGTGTGCCCTCTGTGACTGCTGTGTGCCCTCTGTGACTGCTCTGTGCACCTGATTTGGTAAAAATTTATTTTCTATCCCTAAGAAAGGTTTGGGTTGGGAAGGATATCCAAGATCAGCCAGTCCCACCCCTGCCTTGACCAGCTGACCAGGCTGCTCCTGCTCCTGTCCAGCCTGGCCTTGGACACTTCCAGGGATTTTTGACCAACTCAATCTGCTCCAAGTCCCAAAAGGAACCTGCAAAAAGTTCCCAGAAGTGATTCCATCCATGGCAGCCATGGGAAGAGGGTGGGTGAGCTTTATACACTGATTATAAATATAATTAATGCTCTTAAAACAAAGAGTTGCAATAGTGAGCAGTGCAGTTAAAATACCTTGGTTTATAAATGTATTTATGGGCATAAATACTTCCAACATATTTATATGGAGAAATAGAAAACATCCATGTGTGTGCTGGGGGCCCCACGTGATGGAAAATACCCTGGAAAGCTGCAAAAATTGTCCTTTACTAGCTCCCAACCCAAACATGCTTCTTTCATCAGTGAAAATAAGAATTCCCACAGCTGCCAGTGGAGTTTAGGATTGATTTTCCAACCCCAAATCACTCAGTGAGGGGCTGGGGGCTCCCTTTGTGACACGAGGGTCCCCCCTGAGAAACCTCTGCAGCCCAATATTTGATATTATTTAAAGTGCAGACATAAAACCAGATTCCATTTTAATTTCCTTGTGTCTGAAGATGAAACGAAAGCCCTCGAAAATGAACTTTTGTCAATGTATTTCAAAAGTCTGTTTATTTTCAGGAATTTTTACCTACTCACAGGCTGGTGGAAATGTGTTCCATGTGAGTAATTAGCCAGTCAAAGCCCATCAAAGAGAGTTGGAGGTAATGAAAAGAATTCATCACTCCTGTGCTGCCTAAGTTGAAACAAATTACACAGGAATAAATATCCAGGCAAATGGAATCGTGCCCCTAATTAGAAACAATTTGGGATGGCTTGGGAAAAAAAATAATAATACAAACACACAGAGAAAATCTGATTCCTAAACCATCTCAATTAAAACTTTACCTGAGCACAGGCTTTGAAAATTCGTGTTTATTGGTAAAAATAATCACTGTGCTAATTTTTGACACTAATTTAGCAAACCCGTTTGTATTCACCTATTTGCATTTCATCTTCTCCACTTAAATTAACAACCCGAAAATCGCCACAAAAATCTAATTAAACCCTCAAACAAATTAAACTAATTAAACCCTCAAACTTAGGAAAAAAAAAAAAAAGAAAAAATTAAGCAATTTGTTCTTCCATTATGGAATAAACCTACTTATGATGGATTCCACTATTCTGGTGTCACTTTATATCCAGGAGTGGGGAATATTAAGTGTGAATTCCAGGATTGCAATAAGCCAAGAGAGGTTTGGGTGGGAACAGAATGAATTATCTCAGTGGGTAACCGGTGAAAGAGAGAACCAGGAGATGAGTTTGCTCCAAGATATTCAGAAAATGCCAACAATTTGGAAAAATGAGAGAAAAATGTTAATTTATTGTTAATTTACCTGATGAAACTATTTACTATAAAAGCACGGGATGGCTGGATAAAAGGTTATGAAAAAGACAGAAGCTGTAAAAGCTGATTTTGATAATTATCCTCAAAATTCATCAGATTTCAGAATGGTTTGGACTGGGAAGGGACTTAAAGCCCAGCCAGTGCCACCCCTGCCAGGACAGGGACACCTCCCTCTGTCCCAGGCTGCTCCAAGCCCTGGCCCTGGACACTTCCAGGGATGTGGATACCTCTGAGGAGATGAAAGCAGGGAGACAGGAATTGGGAGTTCATTTTTCAGTTAAAAAATTCAATTGTAGCCAAAACTGGGCCAGGGAGATCAAAGCTCTTCCTGCTCCACTGCCCTGAATTCAACAGTTCCACAAATTCTTTGGGATGAAGTAATTACCTGGAAATGTGGCTGAGCAGTGACAGGACACAGCCAAGGGGACGGGAGAGATCCCCAAAGAGGATCCAGGGAACCTCAGAGCCCCTGCCAGGCCTGCAGGGGCTCCAGGAGAGATCCCTGGGATGAGGGATGGAGGAACAGGAGCCAGGGAATGGCTGCCAGTGCCAGAGGGCAGCCATGGATGGGATCTTGGCCATGAGGAATTGCTGGCTGGGCTGGAATTGCCAGAGCAGCTGGGGCTGCCCCTGATCCCTGCAGTGCCCAAGGAAGGGTTGGAGCAGCCGGGGACAGGGGAGGTGTCCCTGGAATGAGCTCTGATGTCCCTTCCCACCCAAACTGCTCTGGCATTCTGGGATTTGGGACACTCAGAATCCATCCCCAGGGATTTTTATGGAAAATGGGGATGGAAAAGAGAGGAAAAGGGAAGGAAGACCTTTCATGGTTTCCTGAGATTCCCAGTGAAGGCCCTGGGTCCATGAATGTCCTGGAGAGGAGATGGAAGATTTGGCTTCAAACTGCAGCATAAAATTGAAATCCCTTCTCACTTCTCAGCAACATTAACTCATGGGCCAGCCTGGGAATCCTGGCAGCCCTTGGCCTCCAGAGCAGCCCCAGGTTTCCCTCTGTGCCTGCACTGAGAGCTCCCTGGGGCTCCCCAGTGTCCCTGGGCTCCAAGGGTTCCCCGTGTCCCTGTCCCAGCCCCAGCTCTCCCCTTGTTCTGTCTCATCGTCCTCCTGGAGGGTTTTAATCAATCTCACATTTCACTTCACAAGTTGTGCTCTGTGCTGATTAAAACCCACAGCAAGGCAGAACCTGACAATCCACTTTAAAGGCAAGAAAAACCCAGATATTAAAAATATCCACTTAGAAGCCACCCAAACCAGCCCCATTTCAATCCTTACACTGGGCACTTGTTCCTGAGCCAGGTCCCTTCTGGGGGAGCTGCTCTGGCAGTCTGGGTGAAAGTTGTGCTTTTCAGGGCATTTGGGGTTTGTTCCTTCCCTTCCTCCCTCCCTGGAGGGAGATGAAAGCTCCAAGTGGGCACTAATTCCCAATTAGCACTGATAATGAGGGGAGCACTGACAGCATTCTCTGCAGAGCTTGGGAGGGATTTTTTTTATTCTTGTCCAAAAAGAAAACTGGAATTCTTCTTGTACAGGAGTGGAATTGTGAGGTGCCTTTAAAGAATTAATTCTGGAAGGGATTTTATCATTATGTTTCTGTTAAATGAATTGGCCCTGTGCTTATTAAAAATCACAGCAAGACAGAACCTGAAAATCCACTTTAAAGGCACGAAAAACCCAGATATTAAAAATATCCACTTAAAAGCCACCCAAACCCAGGCCCTTCCTGCCTGGGCAAGCCAAAGGAACTTGCCTGAAGCAGCCAAGTGAGGGATTTCCTGATCTGATCCCACAACACCTGCTTAGGAATTGCTGAGGCATCAGTCCAAAACCTCGTTAGACATTAATCACGTGGCTGCACAGCAAGATTTATGAGGGACTGTGAAGTTTGCAGCATCCCATTCATCTGGAACAAGGATTTGGAGTTTGTGCTCCCTGGCTGAATCCTGCCATCCGTGGGATGTGTTTACATCCCTCACACAAATAAAGCTGTCCATAAATGCAGGGGAACAGAGCACCCTGCACCCAACTGCTCTCTGGGAATGAAAATTAATAGAAAGTGGTTTATTAAAAAAGCCATTTTTATGGATTTGGAGGTGTAATTAAATTTTGAAACTCCAAAAGGGCAGGGCAGTGTGTGTGGCCTGTCTGCCACATGGAGCTGGTGACACTGGCTCTGCTCTGTCCTTCTGAACTGCAACCCTGCCACAAGGACAAATCTGCTCACCCTCATTTGTGGGAAATTCATTTGCAGAGAATTCCCAAAGCCTGACGGATTTCTCACATCTGTATGCAAACTTTGAGATGAGAAATGCTGACTTAGGAATGCCCTGGAACAGCACAGACATTGTTAATTAAATTTAAATTCTTTAAATGTTGCTTCAATCCCATTCCAGATTGAATGGACCTGAACTTTTCCTGGCTCGCATTCCTATGGAAAATTACTAGAGAATGGTTATAAATTATAATGTTTGGGGAGAAAAATGGCAAGCAATACAGTGAACACAGAAAATCACATCTCCTGTTAGTGCTCTTTATTCCTGTT